ATATTACAAATTTAAAAAGGCCCACTAAATTTAAAAAGTTGAATAGTTAAAACATTTTTATTGGTGAAAAACATTCTCGTGCGGTTGTGCGGGTGATTAATGTTCGTGAGTTTTGTACTTAATGTGTGTGCGTTTTGTGCTTAAGGTGCGTAAGGTTTATGCTTAATGTGCGTGAGTGTGTAATACTTAATGTGCGTGAGTTTTGTTCTTAAGGTGCGTGAGTCTTGTGCCTAAGGTGCGTGAGTTGTGTGCTTAATGTGCGTGAGTGTGTACTTAATGTTAGTTGTTGTTGAAATTTTAAAGTGCATGAGTTTTGTGCTTAATGTGCGTGAGTTTTGTGCTTAAGATGCGTGAGTTTTGTGCTTAAGGTGCGTGAGTCTTGTGCTTAAGGTGCCTGAGTTTTGTACTTAATGTGCGTGAGTGTGTACTTAATGTGAGTTGTTGTTAAAACTTAAGGTGCGTGAAGGTTGTGCTTAAGACGTGTGAGTTTTGTGCTTAATGTGCGTGGGTTTGTGCTCTGAATGTATTTTGTTTGTCTTTAATGTGCGTATGTTGTGTACTTAAAGTGCGCCAGTGTAATGCTTAATTGTGAATATGATGTTAAAAAATTATGAATATATAGCTTTATAATTATAAACATATAGTTCAATAATTATGAACATAGAGTTCTGTAATTGTTAATGTAGAGTTCAATAATTATGAATATGAAGTTAAAAAATTATGAATATATAACTTTATAATTATGAACATATAGTTTAGTAATTATGAACATAGAATCGTGTCCACCTTGCAAGGTGGAAACGGTTCCACAACATAACGCTTCAAATTATGCTGTGGACTCGAGTTCTCCTTGCAAGGTGGACGTCGGTTATATTCACAATTTTTGAACTTTATATTCACAATTTTTTAACTCTATATTTGCAATTTTTGAACTAAATAATCACAATTTTAGATCTCAATATACAAAATTACATAACTCAATATTCACAATTGCAGAACTTTATATTCAACAATTTTTGAATTCTATATTCACAATTTTAGAACTGAATATTCACAATTTAAGATCTCAATATACAAAATTACATAACTCAATATTCACAATTGCAGAACTCTATATTCACAATTACAGAACTCTATATTCATAACTTCGTAACTCTATATTCACAATTATAGAACTGAATATTCACTCGCTGAATTGTTTTTAATAATAATTTGTTTTTAAAAAATCATTAGTTGCGGAAACGATACCGTTAGCGACATCGTTATTTTCACACGTGCAAACTGTGTCGTTTTGAACCTGGGTCCACCTAGTCCAGGGCATAACTATCCATGAATGGTTGTGTGGGTAAGTGTGAGCAAAATAAACTCCGCATTATATTATATTCCATTACGAGGGGCGCCCAATTATGGAGAAATCTAACATACCTTCCCCACCAATCCGCCATGAATGTGAATTGGACACCCTAATTCCATGCATGCGTGTCACTATATACAATGATAACCCATGTATTGTAAGTGTATACATCGTACATATGTATTTAGTTACCGTAATAAATCGGGAGTGACTATATTCACTATCGACCTACATATATATTTTCACTCATTACGTACTTGTATTCATAACATGTGATTACTATACTTTTCCAAAATTCACCCTTTCTTTAATTTACCGAATACATATATGTATGGATTTCACTATCTTTTTGCTTATTTACAAATATATCAAGCACTTTGTGTTTAGATAACATCTATGTGGCTATATTAATGGAAAGATCACAGTATTAAATCTCAACAGATACTACCTTGCAATAAAGTCAATGACATTAAAAAAAAAGGGAAAATGACACTTCTTCCCCCTGTATTGTTTACATATAGCATATTTTCCCCCTGTGTTGTTTATGTAACCACTTTATTCCCCTTAATTGTTTTTGAAGTGACTATTTTCCCCCCTCTCCGTTAAATAAGTGTTAGGGTTGTTAAATATGAGGGTAAAAATGACATTTCACTTATTATTATTATTATTATTATTATTATTATTATTATTATTATTATTATTATTATTATTATGTGCTTAAATCATTTTTTTTTATGATAGTGCTTATTTTCTCTCTCTCATCTTACTTATTTTATTTATAATTTATTAATTAATTTAACTCTTTTTTAGTTACTTCGTTAATTTTTTAAATTGTTAAATTAATTTTTTTTTGTGTTTAATAATATTTTTAATAAATTTAAAAAAAAAGTTAAATTATACGGAGTATTAATTTAAAGAAATGTTAACATAGTTTATTATATTTTAATAATAATAATAATAATAATAATAATAATAATAATAATAATAATAATAATAATAATAATAATAATAATAATAATAATAAGTGAAATGTCATTTTTACCCTCATATTTAACAGCCCTAACACTTATTTAACGGAGAGGGAGGAAAATAGTCACTTCAAAAACAATTGAGGGGGATAAAGTGGTTACATAAACAACACAGGGGGGAAATATGCTATATGTAAACAACACAGGGGGAAAAAGTGTCATTTTCCCCTTAAAAAAACACACATATAGTTAATTCCAACAATGGTCCTCTGACTATATTGATTTTCCAAAATTAGTTATCGACTTTTAATTTGGACACTTTACGTCACTTGACTTTCAATTTCTTTCCAATTGAGGTCCTTTCGTAAGTATACAGTAAATTGGACTTTAAATGAAAAGGTAAAGTAGTCATTTCATCTATGCGCGACTTCGGGCATCAGATTCACTTAATTGCTTAATCGCTAAATCAACTCGAAAAATAAAATTCTATTAGTGATTAAGCAATTAAGTGAATCTGATGTCCGAAGTCGCGTATACAATGAAGAAATGCGAAGATTTATACATTAGGTAGGTGAAATGACTACTTTACCATTTTATTTAAAGTCCACTTTACCATAATCTGACGATAGGATCTCAATTCGAAAGAAATTGAAAGTCAAGGGACGTAAAATGTCCAAATTAAAAGTTGGGGATTAATTTTGAAAAATCAATATAGGGCAAATTATGTCCTGGAAACGTGTTCACCATGAATGGTGGACACGGGGCCAAACGGTGCCGTTTTTACGTAAAAATAAAAAATAAAAAATTCGCTAATGTGGTTTTAACGGCGCGCGTTTGGTCAGATTATGAATTTTTTGTTATGAGATTATGAATGTACTGTAAATTCATAATCTCATAACAGAAAATTCATAATCGCATAAAAGAAAAACATTTAATAAATTATGAATTTTCTGTTATGAGATTATGAATTTACTGTAAATTCATAATCTCATAACAAAAAATTCATAATCTCATAACAGAAAATTCATAATCTCATAACAGAAAATTCATAATCTATGAATGTTGAAGAAGCTTGCGCTACAGAGGAGCAGCCATGGTTTCAGACGGGAATGTGTTGGCATGGTTCCAAAGTAAATGTGCAGGCATGGATTCATAATTAATGAATGTCCGAAATCATTGCTCACCTCAAATTAAAGTGAAACTGCGAAATGTGAAAATGAAGAAGAAAAGTCATGCGATTAATTAAGGAAAAAAAAAAAGATAACGGTGTACTAACACCGTTGGGACCGTGTTCAGCATGGATGGTGAACACGGTTCCATGGCATAACGATTTATCAATATAATCGGAAGACCATTACTAGAATTAACTCTATAAAATTAATACTTGAATTATGGGTTTGAAAGGTGTGGATAATGATTCACATACATGAAGATAAGAGGATCAACTTTTCGTGACATGCTCTTACTTGAACTCGTCACACAAATTCTTTTTACAAATAAGATTTTTTTTTTATTGATTAATGAGCTATTACACAAAATTGAAATTTATTATATAAAAATATAAAAAAATAAAAAGAAATAAATAAACAAAAGAAGGGCATGAAGATTAGATGAGGAGGAAGGGTCCCTCAAAATCTTGAAAGATGGTCCTCTCCCTTTTCCTTTTCGTCCTAATAAATTAGGGTTTCACGTGTGTTTGTCAACCTCGGTTTGTCGGTCAGACAAGCATTCCACAAGTCAAACACCCACAACAACATTAATCAACACAACTCCCCATTTTCTTTTTTTTTTTTTTTAATAAAAAAATTATAAACCCCTCAATTTCATGAATTCATACTCCACTACCTTATATATTATTGAAAATTCTGTACCACAAATTATAAATAAATAGAATAAAGAAACAAAATTAAAGAAAACAAGAAAATAGGACTACTTGGACCTACTCCACTCCCCCAACAGACCACCGGGCCCCGCTTCCTCTCTCTCTCTCTCTCTCTCTCTGCATTTTTCACAATTTTTAAATTTTTAATATTGGCTAATTACTTCAAATCTTGACTAATTAAAACTTAGGTCATGGTTAAATATATCATTTGAATAAAATTTTCAAATATTTTTATGTTATTTTTTCAAATTATTATTAAAAGAACAAGAAACACCCGAAACAACTACCCATAAATATTAATGTCGTATAAGAATTCATCTGGTCTGCTTATTTGAATAGCACTAAAAAATCGCCTCAATCACGTCAATCTCACTAGGGGGTTCCGACATAGTACGCCAACAATTATCATATTGTCAAGTCATGTTAGCGAGACGATCAACCACTTTTCTTTGAATCAAACTAATAATTTATTTAAAATACACCAGATTTCTTTTAATATTTATAATTTTTGAAAATTATTCATTCAATTAGTTACAACTTACAATCTGCATTTAACGAGATTAGACTAATTTAGTTGAATTCCAGAAGATAAGTCACAATATTAATTTAGAAAGATAAATACAATTTTATGATTTACATAAAAGTTCAAAAATAATCCGTAATAAATTTGAGTTGGAATTTTACAATACAAAAACTATATAGGTGGGGTTATCTCTCTGTGCATTAATAATGATTGTTTATTATCTATTCACAGATTGGATAGAATCTCTATAAAGACTCTTTCTGCTTCTTTCAATCCTAAAGCCTTTTGTTCTCTCTCTCTCTTTCTCTCTCTAAAATTCTCTATTTCTACAGAGTTTTGTGTGTCCTTTTGAAGAGTACTTGTTTGCTCTGATTTTGTGTTCACATGAGAGATGGAGCTCGGGTTGAGCTTGGGTCTGGGCATCACCGCCGGGAATGAAAGGCTAGGACGGCAAGAAGACGGCGGCCAGGAGCCGGAGAAATCCCACCGGTCTAATGATTCCGACGAGGACGACGACGACGTTGAGGACTACGACCACGCCACTTCGTCGGAGGAGGAAGCCCACCGCAGCGCAGATCGACGCCTCGCCATTTTTGCTCCGCCGGTGCCGCTCGACCTCCTCCCTCCCGCTCCTGTTCAGAAGAAGAACGTTAGTTTTCCGGCGGCGGCGCGTGCGGCGGCGGCGGAGGAGGTGTCGTCGCCCAACAGCGTAGCGTCGTCGTTCAGGGCGATAGACTTTAGCATTTTCAAGAGGAACAGGAATGGTGCGGTGGTGGAGGACGGTGGTAGGGATCAGAGAACCGCCTCCGACGCCGCCGGAAACGGCGGCGCGGCGGAACCGGCGTCGAGGGCGAGCGACGAGGACGAGAACGGCGTCAACGCCCGGAAAAAGCTCCGGCTTTCCAAAGAACAGTCGGCTTATCTGGAAGAAAGCTTTAAAGAACACCACACTCTTAACCCTGTAAGTACACCCAAAAAGACAACCTTTTTAAAACTTTAAAAAAAAAATGTTTTGTCGTTTTATTTTCCTCGATTTTATTTCCCATTTTCAAAAATTTATGATTCTGGAAATCCACAGAAGCAAAAACACGCGCTCGCAAAGCAGCTGAATCTCCGGCCGAGGCAAGTCGAAGTCTGGTTCCAGAACCGCCGAGCAAGGTGAGTTTGAACTTCGAAGCTCCATTAATGGCGGATTTCCGATCTTCTTCATATTTGAAAAAATAGCTATAAAACTTGCAGGACAAAGCTAAAGCAAACGGAAGTCGACTGCGAATACCTGAAAAGATGCTGCGAAACGCTGAGAGAAGAGAACCGAAGACTCCATAAAGAATTGCAAGAACTCAGAGCTCTCAAATCTTCAAATCCATTTTACATGCATCTCCCCGCCACCACTCTCACCATGTGTCCGTCGTGCGAGAAGGTCGCCTCCACCTCCACCGCCCCGCCGCCGGCCACCGTCTCCGCCCCCGCACCCACCACCCCAACCACCGCTCCCGACTCCATCCCCAAGCCCATTCCCTTCCTCTCCAAACCCAGGTTTTTCCCGTTCACCGCCGCCCATAATCCCAGCCACCCCCACCAGTCTGCCGCCTCGTGAACACCGCCGGAGATTCAAGATCCGATGGGGTGTATGTATACCAACTACTACTAATCTTGGGTCTCTTCAGTTCGAATCTTCCGACGTTGTTTGATGTTTTCTTTTTTCTGGGATTGTTCTTGTGTCTTCACGGAGCAACTTTTTGGCTCGTAACATAATCTGAATCGAACGTAGGTGAAGAAGCTTAATCTTTTGTGTATGTAGTGATGATCAGTAAATCATGCATGGCTAGAAAACTAAGAAGCTAGGTAGCGTTACCATGTTTTTGTATGGGATTCATCAAATTTCTTGATTATCATTTGCTGCAAAAACCCAACTAAAGTTGAAAGAAAATCATAATTACAGCAAAGTTTTGCTTCTCAATCCCTCTTATTTATTCCCATTATCGTAATTAGGATGACTTAATGAATAATGACTCAGTAGACGAGATTAAATATCGATGTTTACAAGAGATCTGTCTATTTTATACATATAATTCCTACACTAATATTGTTATTAGGTAAACTTTGATCTTTTCTCTCAAATACTGTATAAATCATTGAGCTAAGCCGTACGAGCTACTTTCAATCATATCTTTATTCGTTGAAATCATGACAGATAAAAGAAGCGTGCTTCTTGGAAATTTCTTACTTCCACCCACCCACAATAAATGAAGTATACTCTCCACAAGACAAATTTCGTTTTTTTGTTAAAAGTTTTGATTAACTTGCAATCATATGTGATAAGGTTTTATTTAAAAAAAAAAAAAAAAAAGAGAGAGAGAAAATCTATCATCCTTACCTAAATGTATGTTTTGTGATCTTAGTCAATAAATAATCACAACAAAATAAATCAGCATGATTAGTCTAATTGACAAAAGACTAAAAAAAGATAGACGAGTTTATAATTGACTTAAATTAAAAAGGTTAATAGACTGTTACTACAGAAAGTTGAATTTGAAATCTTTATGTTTCTTAACTAACTGTGGGATCAATTTTGATTGATTGGAGTTGTGTCAACCTCAAGTTAAGGTTGTTCCGACAAGGGAATTAGAGTATTTTAATACCCAATTAAGGTATTATGATAAAGTGGTTTTAGGGGAAATTGCAAGGGGGAGTAAACATAGTGGGATTTCACCAAGTATGGACAAAGGAAGATGAGTTTGACTTTGTGTCTGGAGTAAATGAAATGAACTTGAGCGTGCAGGAGTGGGGGTGAGGGTGGGGGGTGAGAGAGGGGGGTGGGGGTGAAGAAATGAAGATGGAGATGATGAATGTTGTCTGGAAAAGTGAGGTGGGCTTTAAGAGCACCCAATTATGAGTACACACGAGCCAAGTACATTCTCCATTATTGTTTCCTAACGTTTCTGCCCCCCCTCTCTCCTCTGCTGCATGTTGCTTCGCACGTGACTACCCCCCCCCCCGCCCCCTTCCACACCCACTACTTCATTACAGCTTTTGACAATTACCTACCACACACCCCAATACCTACGTACAGTATATATATATACATACAAATGCATACATGTGTATGTATAGTGTTGGCTTGCGAATCATTATTGTGTGGATCATATTGTAAAATAATGTACATTCAGTACAAAAATAATGTACATTATATTCAGGGGATGCACATTATTTTTATTCTGAGTATACATTATATTGTATAATGTACATTCAATATAAAAATAATATACATTTAGTATATTAAAAATGTATTTTTTGTCATATTTCACATAACATTGTGTGGACCATAATGTACACAATAATTTGCTAACAAATGCCTTGTCGACCACAATGAGGTAAACAGTAAACGAGTTCAGGTTGTTTTAAAATAATATGATAAATCAGTCTAAGTTACCTTAAATCATGAGAGTCAAACTTGAAACTTCATGGTTAGATGCTGAGAGTCTGACCAACTTAGTTGGGGTTAAACCCAACGGGTTTTATTGTATTGTTGTGAATCATAATGAATAATGAAGTTAGATTATGTTGTTTAGTACGGAGTATTTGTGAAGAATAGTTATAGATTTATACCATTAGACTAAATGATATGGGGGGGCTTATAATATGTGATATTGTTGTGAGTGAAGGGGAAAGACAATAAAACCCCCAATCAATGGATCCAGGTGTGTAGGTGAGGTGGGGTCAGAAGAGGAAAAACACAATGAATACATGTTGCCCCTTTGTATACTAACATACTCATTGTCCCACATATCATTGTGTATGGTCAACCTCACCTCATTATGCAGCAAAAGAAACCACCCCAGAACGGTCGCTTTCATCTTTTTATTTCCTAATTTTATTTCTTATATTATACTCCGTATATGTTTTAACTCCAAAATAGTTATAGTTTTTGAAAAATTTTTACAAGTCTAACTAAAAAAGATGAGAAGGATAAAAGAAAATAAATCGGAAAAGGAATATATATATATATATATATATATATATATATTTATATTAACACGCCCCATGCACAACAAAGAGTTTTTTTGCTTTTTTGGTGAGCCATATTTTTTCTGCAAAAATTAAAGATCTCTTGCATCAACTCATTTTTTTTCTCTCTTCTCTCATTCTCTCCTCCACATAAGGATTAGCTCTGCAAAAATCAATGACAGTTCCTTATTGGAGATGCTCTAAGGATTATTACTGCTTTTCTCAAGAGACAGGTAAAAAATATATAACATATTATACTAGGTACCATCGGTGCTGATGTTAATAATATCAATACACGTCTTGAAAGAAGTTGTTAAGTGGTAGAACATAATTATTATATTAAAATGTCACGAGTCAAATTTTTATCAATATCATCTTAGTCGAACTCTACACACAATATCATCCTAATGAGTTAATACTCAAAATCGTCCTCGACTATAGTGGTTTTTCTCAATTTCGTCCTAAACGACTTTGGTGACCTAATATCGTCCCAGACTTTTGTGTTTCGCTCAATTTAGTCCCAGACTTTTGTGTTTTTGCTCAATTTAGTCCCTCATTTGTTATTCTGTCCATTTGGTGTTAAATAAATAGGCAATTCAGTAATTTTAATATTGGCATCTCTTTACTCATAGACATGTGAACTGCGAAATCTTTTTTTTTTTTTTTTTTTTTTTTTTTTACGAATTACTCCCAGAATTACTCTTAAAACTGCGAATATAAAATTTGATTTGCAGGTCCGGGAGTAATTCTGGGTGTAATTCGTACAAGAAAGAGGAATTTCGCACTTCACAAGTTGAAAGTAAAGAGAGATCAATATTGACATTACTCAATTGTCCCTTTATTTAACACCAATTTGACGGAATAACAAATGGAGGACTAAATTGAGCGAAACAGAAAAGTCTGGGACGATATTAGGTCACCAAAGTCGTTTAGGACGATACACAGTCCCTTATTGGAGATGCTCTAAGGATCATTACTGCTTTTCTCAAGAGACAGGTAAAAAATATATAACATATTATACTAGGTACCATCGGTGCTGATATTAATAATATTAATACACGTCTTGAAAGAAGTTGTTAAGTAGTAGAACATAATTATTATATTAAAATGTCACGAGTCAAATTTTTATCAATATCATCTTAGTCAAACTCTACACACAATATCATCCTAATTTAAGAATTTACCCAATATAGATTTTCAGAACAATTTGTTACACCTGTGTAGTATTAGGTAAAGCACCACACCATAAAGTTAATATATAATCTTTTAATTATTTAATCTATGAGACACATATTAGATGACCCTTGGACAGTGCAAACTACTTGAAGGGTACTTTTCAGTGATGAACTTCTGGATTGTTGTCCCTTGTAAAGTGGGTGAAGTAGTTTGGCCCATACCATATCCAATAATTAAAAATATATATAATAATAACATTTAAATAATAAGGAAAAGAAAAAGAAAATTCCAGACAAAATTAAAGAACCCTCCAAACAACAAAACATCATCTTCGTATTTTAGGATAAACTTTGAAGATGACAAAGATCACAACACATGTGGAGAGTTTGACGATTATAATAAACAACCGACCATGGCCCCATCCCCTCCTACTTTTTTAGTTTTCTTGAACATAAAATGACAAATAAACTTTGCTCTTCTCATCCTACTCGACAAAAACCCCCAAGAATGTGATGTGGATTGGAGGCAATTAGCAAGTCATTCAAGAATTGTTGTTGATTGGTGGAAAAGGGTTACAAGCAATGCCCTATTTTTATTATTAAGAGTTAATATTGGGTTTAATCATCGATTTTAGTGACGTTTTCTAATTGTCGTTAACAAATAAGTTGTTTATATTTTAGTCTTAATGTTACTGATTGTACGCAACTTAGTTCGTCTACTGAAATTTTGTTCAAATACATATGAAATTAGTCATCTTCAATAATCTTAAACCCTTCGAGTTTCGTTAGGGGACGAATTCAATATTCCTTCTCATGTCTTTGTTTTGACAAGAAAGATGTGATATCTGAGATTTGAGATTTAGGGTTTCACACTAAAGAAGTTTTCTTATATTGTCGATCTTGGTCCATTGTATTTTGGTCTTGACTTTAGTTGTTTTAAATTTAATCTTTCAACTATATATAATTTTGTTCGAAATGATTTATACTCATCAAGCTTAAATACATATCTTCGCCCTCAAACCCCAAGATTCATTAGGGGAAATTGTTTAGTCTCCTTCCATCTTGGCAAAAAAATTTGATTTTAGGAATATGAACTCGCAGCTCGAAAATAAAGAATTTTTTCTTTAAGTTTAGGACTAACAAGTAAAATTCTCTTCTAGAGATAACTACCACTAAACAGAATTATTGAAATACTAAAATTAGCACAATCTCTTAATTAAATTACTAGAGTCAAAATTAAAATATAATTAAATCTAAAAATATAACTAAAGTTGAGAAACAAAATTGATATTAATTCTAACAATTATATTTAGGACTTATATTAGGAAACTAAAACAAATTAATTAACCTAACTATAGGTGGTGGAATTTTCAACTGCCATTATTATATGCCATCCAATGATTTGTGCAATGCTAGGCTGGTCCTTCCCATCTCTTATTGCCTAAGCATCCTAGCAACACAAAATCAACTTGTGTACATATATGGTACGTAAATAATGATAAATCAATGTATATATTTATATATAATATATTACACAAGTCCTTTTCTAACTAGGAGACAAACACGATGACAATAATTATTATTTATTAATCAAACAATTTTCATTTTTGTTTGAATTGTGTCAAATAAAACTAATCAAAATTCGACTGAATCAATTTTATCATTAAGCGATTATGAAAGCAATATGGTAAAAAAAAAAGTTATTTTTTGTTTGAAACTCGACTGTATTAATTTTAACACTATGCGACACTAACGCAATATGA